GAGGGGGAGAACTGATTGTGTATGATAGGGGGGAGTAACAAGACATGTCTGATTGTACAAGCTTTTTAGTTGTGTTGTATTTTTACAGGGTTTACATGGTTTCATGTAACTTGTGTTTATGGTTTTATTTCTCTCTCCAAATTTTGTGCAAAGGTTGTTTTAGCCAAAATTTTCCAAGGAGGGAGATTATTAGGTCTATGATTTTATGGTTGACAACAATGTTGGTAAAAAAAATAGTTGACAACACTTTTATCAAAAACATGTTTCTTTGGGAGAAACATGTATTCCAGCCTAATGTTGAACAAGATGTCATAACATCTTGACCAACTGGTACAACAGAGCCTGCATGTACATATTTGATATATGTTCTATTAGATGTTGTAATATGTTGAAATAGAATATAATGATAGTACAACTAGATTATTTCCTTAAATATTTGATTGAAAAAATATGAGATTATGGAGGTTTCTAGTACTCATAACAGGCGCAGGCAATCAAGGAATTTTAGGAATAATTTCAGATTTAATTTGTTTCATAAAAATGATCTTTGAGATTTTTTAGGAAATATTTGAAAGATTTGTTTTTTGTTTCTATTTTTGTCGAGAAGATTCTGCAGGGATTTAGAGTTGAAGATTTGATTTGATTGAAGAGTCCAAGCCCAACTATAGAAGTATATATAAGGAGACGTCCAAGACCTTGTTTTGAAGTAACATAGTTTTTGTAAAACCTTGTGAAAAATAAGGGTTTAAGGTTTGAGAGTTCCTTAGTTTCTCCGTGTGTTTTTCTATGTCCTCATGTATCTTTTGATGCATTTGAGTTGACTGGTTGTTACTTGTTAATCAAGTTATTGTTCTCTTCTAAGCTTTTAAGCAAAAAGTTGAGTATTGTTCTTAGTGAAGCTTTTAAACAAGATAAGTATTTTTTGTATTGGAAGCGTGTTTTTCCTTTTTGGTTTCTTCAGACATTCCCTGAGATTAGGATTTTTATTTGATATCAATACGGTGATTAGAAGTGAGAGGGGTTCTCATATCTAAGAGGTTTCTAGGTAGAAGTTGCATTGGGTAGTGATTAAGTGATTAGTTGTAAATTGGGATTGTTTATGCTTAGAATTAATACTACTGATAGTGGATGTCATTCCTAGCTTGGTAGTCCCCATAGTAGGTGAGTTGCAACGAATTGGGTTAACAATTCTTTGTGTTCTTTTACCTTCTGCTTTTAAATTCAGCATAGTCTTTATTTTGGTAAAAGTTTTATCTGTCACCATATGTCATAACATTTTTCGTGACATCGCGCTTGTGTGTTGAGACATTAATCTTGACATTCATATTCTGTGTGTTAGAATTTCACAAAGTGAGGGTAACTTGGTCATTTGAGCAGGGTACACGCGGTATAGGTGGTTATGAACAACTGTAGTTTATTATGAGTGGGTTACAGGTTGTTGAAGTTTGTTACTAGATGTCTCAAATTTAATTAGTTGATGGTTAAAGAGTTAGTTTACTTAGTTTTGAAGTTTGAAATGAATTTGGAGGGAAATCTAAACCTAAGGGCAATTTAGGAATTTTCCTTTACCCACGCGGTAGAGGTTGTTATGGGTTTGTTAGTAATTCAGTTAGAGTCTGTTAATCATAGTTGTTTAGATATTAGTTGCAAAGTATGTATGGTTTTTTCATGTGAATGTTGGAAGTAGATAGTGAAGCTTGAGGTTCAAATATGGCACTGAGTTGGTTCCCCTGCGTGCTTCCTCTTCACAAATCTCTTTCTGTTTGCATGTGTTTATTCTTTTGAGCTTTTTTGCACAATATACTGGCCCAACTGTACTTGGTTGGATTTGTATGTTTGGTATGAAACTGGACATTTCTATAACTTTCTTTTTGACTATTTGGCTTTTTAGGCCTGCATTGTTTTTTTTTGTTTACGCATGATTTTGAGTGAAGATGTCCAGTTTGCACCATGAATACTTGAAACTTCTTGAAATTGCATATGCATTGATTTGGTTTTGAATGCTATTATAAATGGACTGCATTGCAATGATGAACTTTGGCATGATTTTGAGTGTTTTTGGTTTTTAATCATAATACTGATATGAGCATGTATTACTATTCATCTTTTGATATGGATTTTGCCTTCACATTTATTGAAATGAAAGTATATTTTGTACTGTACTGATGTAGCATGCTAATGTTTGTCCTTGAATGGTGATCTTTGGATGGTTTGAATTATATGGTACATGTTCCAAAACTGCATTAATGATGATGTTGAAATATGAGTGCAAATGGCTATGTTTTTTTCTTGTATTTAGACTGTGCTTGATGAGTTGAATTTTGAATGATGATGTGTTCGTATATATGATTTTTTGGTAAGTGTTTGGAACTGTTTTGAATGTGGCCTTTTTTGTGTAGGCATGGTTGTCCTTTTATGGAGTTGTTGAGGTGCATTTGTAAGTGAGTGCATTTGTGTATGGACCTGTTTATGACTGGCTCGAGTTTGTCCTTTAGAATATTTATCATGTTGCATCTCTATTTTAAACTTGAGTTAAATTGTTTGTTGCATTGCATGCCTTATGTGACTTGTTGTACCTTGTTTGAATCATGCACATTTCGTTTCTTTCAACACTCATTGGCATGAACTGGTTGGGACAATAATGAATGTTTCCCTGCTCTATTGCAGGTTTGGTTTTTATTTGGCTATAATGATGGTTTTTGCAAGTCATAGTAGGCTGGTACACATATGATATTGGTACATGGCTTGTTTAATGCAGAACCGTTTCAATTGGAATGTTGCAGGTTTTGCATGAGACTTGAATGTATGACATATGGTTTGGAATGAACAATAAGGGCTTGAGGATCAAAGGAATTAAAGTGATAAAGAGGAATAGGAAAGAATGTAGAAGTTAAAAGTCAAAGTCTCTGATTTCTGGTCAATGGTCAATTGTTGACCAAAAGTCAACGATTTACCAAAACGCCAACTATAACCAAATTCTTGTAATTTTCAACTTTCCTTTTTTGTAATGCTTGGTGAGCAATGTAGATGGCTTTTTGCAATGAATTCTTGGTATTTTGTAATGGATTTTGATGTAGTTTGACTTTTCATGAGTATGTTGACTTTTTGATGCCTTGCACTTTAAGTAATGGATTACATTGTATCTTCAACCTTTCTATAATTTGAGTGAATGAATCCAATTGAATGCCTTGATCAATAAGTAACAGCCCAATTCCATAGAAGAGAAGAATACATAAGACTTGGTCAACTATTTGACCAAAAGTCAATAGTTGACCAAAAGTCAACTATGGCCATGAATGACTTTCAAATGTTTTCCTTCCATGATGTACACTTCAAATAACAATGCTTGGATTTGAAATAGAGAGTCTTCCAAAAAAGTCAACTTTCAAAGTTTACTTTGACCAAATAAGTCAAATGTATCCCACTGTCTTCTTTCCTAAGCAAGCACAACATATATAATGATTGTTGAGCCAAAATAGCACCAAAAGGAACCCTAATAGCTATTTCCTGAATATTTTGTATCATAAGTAACCAACGAGAATCAACCTATTCACAAAAATCGTCTGAATAATCTAAGTGTTGAGACAATTCAGTTGAAATCATGAACTTTTTAAACCAATGATGTTACCTTATGCAAATGAATGATATCTTAATGAAAAATGAATGTTTTAGGTCGATGAAATGCAGATGAATTTGTAAACATGAGCCAGATAAATTGAATGAGGGGTAGGACAAATTTGAAGTATGACACTAACTAGTCACTTCAAAGGTTATGGTGCATCCGCCAATGTGACGACCTCGAACCAGGTTAATGGTAAGAATATCTTTTCAGATTTGAACCTTCTTTTCCTCTAAAAGTTACTACTCTATTTCATAGATTGCAACCAAGGTTTGTTTCTTTGACTATTGATAGTGGAATGACAATTTTAACAAAGAATTTATTATTAGGAGCGAGTATCACTAACTATTATTTAGACAGTAAGAGAATGACTCGAAAAATAATTAGAATTGGATATGAAACATACTACTTGCAACAAACGGTAAATTATTAATCGATTTATTACAACTTTCTACTAACTAAATTTGTTTCATAATAATAAAGACAAATAAGAAATCACACAAAATACGCACATCGAATCCTAAAAACACCTCTTTGATAACTAAACTAAAATATTTTAAGCTCACCATCTGATCTAAGCTCACTTTTCACCCTAGTGAGCCTATGTGATATTTACCATATCAAAATTGAAAGCCAAAATATGATTAAACAACTAAAATGCAATTAAACCTTTTATTTTAATTTTTCTCCATAATCCAAAAAGCAATAAAATAAATATCGAACTTGTTATTATTCCTTACTCCACCTTTCCGCCCTCATTGTCTCACCTTTCCTCCAAACACTAACCAAAGCACTTTCTTCTTTTCTTTTCTTTTTTTTCCCCTTCTTTTTCTCTCTTCTTTTTCCCTCAAATCAACACATTCTATTCCATTATAAGAAAAACATATATTTAAAATACATTAACGATTACACATTTTCCAAACAGCTCTATTTATATATATATATATATTTTTACTTTAAAGTCTAATTTTAAATTAAATACACTATGATTATACCATCCTAATTTAACTACACACCATTCATAAAGCATAATATATTTTTTTCCTTTTTCAATAAAAATAAGAAAAGTTTGCCGGTACTTTCTGTGTATTGTCGGAGTAATTGACCACAAAAAGATTCACTAAAATTAATTTAAATAAAATTAAAATTAAAAATTAGAGAAAAAAAACCACAACACAACAACCCTAAAAGAAAATCTTTAAAAAAACAAAACCTTATTTAACACTTGAATAAATGTTCTCCTCATGTACATGTTTTTTTCTCCCTCATTTTATATAATAAGCTACAAAGAACATTCTCTTATCTTTCTCCATTCTCATTCTTCACTCTCATTTTTCTGATTTTTAGTGTCTTTTGAACTTCGAAGCATACAAGGTTTTTGATGTCTGTGCCGGTAGAACAAGGCTATGGTGGTGGTGAGGTTCCTTTAATGGAAGCCACTGAGAGGAACATTGGATTGAACCTCAAAGCTACTGAACTGAGGCTTGGGTTGCCTGGCTCTGAATCACCAGAGAGAGAAAATGGTGGGTTGTCCATGCTCAAGTGTTTGGTGTCTGGAGCTAAAAGGGGTTTCTCTGATGCTATAGATGGAGGTTCTGGTTCTGGGAAATGGGTTGTCTCTGGAAATGGTGGATCTGAAGTGGGGTTGTGTAAAGATGGAAACTTGTTTTCTCCTAAAGGTAAAGTTTCTGGTGTTGGTGGTGAATGTAACAAACAACAGAATCTTTTCTCTGCAACAGTTGTTAAGGAAACTGTTCCTCACTCTCCTAAGACCTTGCATGAGAATAAACCACATATTTCTCCTCCTTCTGCTAAGTAAGGTTTTTTCCTGTTATGTGGTTTTATTGCATGTCTCTATTTTGTAGTTTCTTTTGTGGTGGTTGTTCTTTTGCTTTGCTTGTTGATTGATGTTGAGTCTTTGTTTGTTGAAATTTTGTGTTTATTTGGGTTGGTACTATTTAGTGTTTCTAGATTCTTCTGTTTGTTTACTAAATGGTGTAAGAAAGAACTGAATTATGTTGAGTTTGGTGTTTCTTTTGGTTTAGAGTAATTGATTATGCTGATAATTCGGAAGAGAATAAAATAAAGTTAAATCTTTTTCGTATAAGCTATTATCAGTTTCCATAAGCTGCTATCTTGGAGAGCATAGGAAAATAAGCTGAAAACAACTTATGGACGTGTCAAAAGCTGTTTCTATAAGCTCTTTCAAACTGTCACACGCATTTATGTCGATATTTATGTCTGTTGCAGTGTTCATTGAGTTTCACCTGCACATGAGGATACAAACTATTTCAACTTGATTCTTTTGTTTTGAATTTATAGTGACTGGCCTAAAAATTGATTTTTTTTCTCTTCGCAATATGGATTCGTGTGTGAATCAGGGCGCAGGTTGTAGGATGGCCACCAATCCGATCTTTCAGGAAGAACTCAATGGTTTCTCCGCCTCAAAAGGATGATGCTGATGCAGAAACTAAGTCTGAATGCCTTTATGTAAAAGTTAGCATGGAAGGTGCTCCATACTTGCGGAAAGTGGATCTGAATGGTTTTAGCTCTTACAGGGAACTTTCTTCCGCACTCGAAAAGATGTTCAGTTGTTTTACAATCAGTGAGTTCTTATCTACTTTTTATCACCTTCTCGCATTATATGTATCTTGATGTTTGGTCTCATGTGCATAATCACCAATGTTGTATAGGCTTTCGGTTGTTTTTGCATGATTCTGATGATATTTTTATTGACAAGTCTAGGTCAATGCGGCTCGTACGGTGTTTCTTGTCAAGAAAAAACTTTAAGTGAGAGTAGATTGGTGGATCTTCTTCATGGTTCAGAATATGTGCTAACCTATGAAGACAAGGATGGTGATTGGATGCTCGTCGGTGATGTTCCATGGGAGTAAGTCCATTTTCTGATATAGTAATTCATAGGAAGAAACTGTCTCAGTTTTTCACGACATTGATAATTCGCCATGTTCAATGAAATGATGTTAATTTTCTTGGCTTTTAGGATGTTCACCGAGTCTTGCAAGAGGCTGAGGATAATGAAGAGTTCTGAAGCAATCGGGTTAGGTAAGGCCAATGTATGTTACATAAAAATCTCATCATTCCTTCATATTCGTTGTGGGACTCATCTATACTCCCGATTCTGCAGCACCTCGAGCTATGGAAAAGTGCAAAAGTCGCAACTAGTACGATACAATGAGCAGGTTGTATACTGATCCGTAAAGATCGAAGATCGCATTTATTAAGCTTAAAATACCTTCTTGTTTGCTTATGTATGTATAATCCTAATCTTATTCTATATACAAGAATTGGAGTCTCATACTCCTAAACTTTATAGTAGGCCAAATATATTGATGACAATATATTAGGCATTTTGGTGTTAGAAGTTTCCAAGTATCTTAGGTTTGTCATTAGTATATAAATTTTGTATTTCTCTGTTAACTTGTTCGCATTCTCTCTTCAAGTTAATGTGAGTGAGCTTTTTGTTTCATATAGAAGGGTAAGAAACAAAGAACACCATGCTTCTTTTTCGTATTTTTGACGCATGATTAATTATCAATTGCTTCGGTACATTCGAAGTTGTTTTTACTGTTTTATTTTTAAACATGTTAATTACAATATTCTTAAGAAATTAAACCAAGGTGAACTTGTATAGTGACATAATTTTTTGAAAAAGAAAATCTCAAACAAAATGTAGTTGACCATCACTGTGCAAGTAGTTGTTGGAGACTAGTTGCCATGTGTGACTAAAATATGAGAATTCAGATAATTTGCATTAAAGTCACATTTCAAAAGCAAGTTCAATTAAAACCGTCCAATTTAATAGATTTTTTTGTTTGTTTGTAATTACCAACTTTTAAAATTTATTTATTTATTTTAAATAATTATGTTTCAGAGAAAATATGTAAATAATTATGTTTTAGAAAACTCTACAAAGGAGGAGTCAACCTAGTTGACGTTTGCACTAACCCATTTGTCTTAGGTGTCATCTCATTTGGTGCAGACTCTCTCTTTTAGCCAAGCGAGATGGCACATGCACTCTAAAAGTGAGAGGATAAGTCATCTCACTTGGGTTCTAGAGCAAAATGTATTTTTTTTTTATAAATAAGCCACCTGTTTCTCCGTCATTCTTCACACTTTCTCGCACTGTCTTCTTATTTTTTCTCTGTTATTTGCGTCATGACATCTCCCATGATTTTTACCAGAGATGATTACGTTATTTTCACGGCCACCAAACCTCCGATGAAAATGAAATTTTGACACATTCACTTCATGGAGCGTCTGAAGAGAGAGTTGATGCGATGGCTAGAGGGAGACATCGAGGATGAGGAACAAATTAGAAGGATCCAACGAAGAAGAACAACCATCTCACTTGCAACCGAAAGACCTAATTTTTTATTGGAGGAAGTCAAAACAGACAGAGACATAATGTTGATGATGCATGAGTCAGATGAAATTGTTTTAACGGTTGTAATTTCTTAGACGTTTTATTGTGTTTTTATTTGTTTTTTGCGCGAGGTTTATTGTAACAAATGCTCTTAATGAAAAACCGTAATGTTTATAACTTAAAAAAATAAAGATGTTTTGCATACAATCTTTATGTGGTTGAGTTAGTAGCCCGAGTCGGACAATTTTTGCGATTGTGTCCGACCTGACGACATAAACCATACTTTCTTTCTAGCTTGTCCAGTGAGTCCATTTCAATTGTGATGCGCTTGCTTTTGGAACGATCCTTTTTATTCCTCCGCATTTGGTCGTTGTGCCAGACTATTTCGCCGTCGTATGCAGACCAATAATCAGGTTTCGCTACCAATGGGAAGTTGTTGTTGTATACATTGAGCAAGCTTTCAGAATTGTAAATGGGAGATAGAAGTTGTAATGCGTCTTGATGAGTATAGGCACATACCGCAATGACATGAGAGCAAGGCATACAAAAGACTTGAAACTTGCCACAATCGCACTAACGAGAAGTTAGTATAACCCTATACTCTTGTCTTGACAGCCCCTCGTTGTGGTTGATTGTCTCTTTGACAATGAAGTTGTGGCTGTGTCGGTCGAACCGTATAACTAGATGGGTGTTGGCTTTGACACTTTCTGCCTTAATATACTTCATGCAGCTTTCACTCCATAGTTGTCCCGATTGCAAGACAACATTCCACATTTAACCTCTTTTGGAAAACAATGAAGCCATCGTAAAATATGTTGATTTAACCAAAGCAGTTACTGGGAGGTTTCGTATGCCTTTGAATACCCCTTTCATAGATTCAATCAGATTAGTTGTCATGTGACTCCATCGTTGTCCATTGTCGTATGACCTAGTCCATTTCTCCATCGAAATATTATCGATCCACCTACCTGCGTCCAGATTTGACAATCTGATCTCGTTGTGATAGTGTTTGAACATAGGTTGTGTTAATGCATACCCTGCATTCATAACCGCTTTCCTAAGAGCTTTGTCTTTGATCTCCCTTGTAAAATTTTGGACGGTATCTCTAATACAATAGACATGCGTAGAAGGAGGGTCATGCCAACCGTTTGCAGGATTATTGTATGCACTCTCAATAGATACATGTCTATCGGAGATCAAACAGAGATCTGGTTGAGGAGCCACGTGTGTTCGGAGATTCTTGAGAAAGAAACTCTAAGCACCACCAGTCTCTCCCTCGACTAGAGCAAAGGCAATTGGGAAAATGTTGTTGTTTCCATCTTGTGCAACTGCCATCAGTAGCGTACCTTTGTATTTCCCATACAACGAAGTCCCATCAATTTGAATAATAGGTTTGCATGATGCAAACCCTATGATACAAGGTTGAAAAGCCCAGAACACTCAACTGAATATTCCATTTCCGGTGACTTGAGTACCATCAGGGGCGTACGCCGGCAGTGTTTCCATAATATAAACAGTACCCGAAGAATAAGTCTGAAGTGCATTTAGGTAGCGAGGAAGTTCTTTGTATGACTCCTCCCAGTTTTCATATACCTTTTCAATCGCCTTGGTCTTTGATAACCACGCCTTTCGGTATGACGGAGTATAGTTATATACCGTAGTGATGTGAGAGATTATGGTTTTCACCTTTAATGATGGATCATTGCTGACGAGAGGTAGAATTTCTTGACATATGAGATCATAATTTAGTTTCCAATGATTCTGTGATTGAGTAAAATTTACACACGCATGGGTGGACATAGAATCTATGACCCAACAATCACCTCTCATTCTGTATGATGCAGTGAGCTTGAACATGCAATCTAGATGGACACACCTGAGCTTGTACTTTTTGGATTTACACGATCTACCTTAAAATCGACCGAGTTGAGCATGTGAAACTTTTTTATGGCTCAGATACAATCTTCTCTACTATAAAAATTGTCTTTCTCTTTTAAGTTTTCATCTGATTGTATATACTGATTGAAAAATAAATCAGATGACGGTTCATCTCCGCCCATGTTGAAGTTTGACATGTGTGGAGGTGGTGTGTAGATCTCGTTCGGAGGTATACCAGGTATCCCATCGTCTTCAGAATCATCGTTGACCATGTCGTCAAACTCTAACTCATCATCTTCCTCTTCTTCGTGAACGACATCTACTTCTGCTTGTTCGTCTTCGAGAGGATCAACCACTTGTGATTGGGTTGGTCGTGATAACTGAGGCTCCCGCAACACAATGTACAACTCAATCGATTCATACCCAGAATACTCATGACTGAAAAACATATTCTGTAGGTCCTCATCATCTTGAACCTCAACCTTATAAAATATTATTTGGTTGTGACAAAAAAAGGATTCTGATAAAAGATTTGTGTCACGGGACCTCGTCCAAGTTTGACCTCCAATCGTTTTTTGAAATACAAGAAATTAGCTTTCCTGTTTAAACAAAATCAGATGTTCTCAGTGTCTCTAAACAAAAACCTAGAGGTGGAACAAATGTATGTATCACCATTGAAATGTGCACAGATCACATATTATGGTGCATATGCCATTGTGTTTGAATGTTCGAAGGTTTGGAGGTTTGAGTGTTTGAAGGTTTAAGTGTTTGAGTCTTTGAGTTGATTGTTTGAATTTTTGAATGTTCGAGTGTTTGAGTGATTGAGTGTAGAAGTGTTTTGATAAATGTAGGATTAAATAGGTTGTACTGAATTTAAATAAAACAACAGTAAGCAACCTCTAATTCGCCAACTGGGATGTCTAATTATATTATATGCAAGCAGAGATTCCTTCCCCAAGGCTGTCAACTAGCCTGCACCTACACTGCAACCCATGCCACCTCTAATTCTCCAACTGGGATGGCGAAACCTTTCAATTTTATACTCATTCACCAAGTCAAATGGCGCCTCCCTACATGTCCAATCGTATTACATGCAAGCAGAGATTCCTCCCCCAAGGCTATCAACTAGCCTGCACCTACACTGCAACCTATACCACCTCTAATTCGCCAAATAGGATGGCGACACCTTTCAATTTTATACTCATTTGCCAAGTCAAATGGCGCCTCCCTACATGTCTAATCGTATTACATGCATGCAAAGATTCCTTCCCTAAGACTGCCACCTATCCTGCACCTACACTGCAACCCATACCACCTCTAATTCGCCAACTGGAATGGTGAAACCTTTTAATTTTGTACTCATTCTCCAAGCCAAATGGCGCCTTCCTACATGTCCAATCATATTACATGCATGCAGAGATGCCTTCCTTAAGACTTCCGCCTAGCTTGCACCTACACTGCAAGAGTGACACTTATCATGCATGCATGCACCCACCACCCACCTCATTTATTCACTTTGTGATAAATTTTTTCCTATAAATACAGAGCCTCACATACTTGTTTTACATCAACAATCATCTCACTCTCTACTACAAACTCTTTCATTATCTCATACAATTTCAGCTATGGCTCTTCTCATAATGGGCAATTTTCACAGAGGTACAAGGGACAACATTGCATCGTTTGTAAGTTTTTATAAATTCTCAAATTTTCTTGTATACTTATAAATTTTTTATAATATTATTAATGATTTATACATCTTATGGACTCTTACACTTTTTTACATTTTGAATTTAGAATACTAAAAGATTCAGAATTCGGTCACACAACCACATTGCTCCCGACCCATTGATCGTGCCATATCTCAAATATACAGGTTTCAAAAATGTTATAAAGATCTTCAACTGTACGATAGATTCAA